CGCTTGTATCTGTCCGTTTCTACAACCATCCGGCTGATATGTGAAGTTCGCTAGTACCTGTCCGTCTTTACAACCATCCGGCTGATATGTAAAGTTTTTCGCTAGTATCTGTCCGTTTCTACAACCATCCGGCTGATATGTGAAGTTCCCTAGTACCTGTCCGTCTTTACAACCATCCGGCTGATATGTAAAGTTTTTCGCTAGTATCTGTCCGTTTCTACAACCATATGGCTGATATATGAAATCATTTGTTTGTATCTGTCCGTTTCTACAACCATCCGGCTGATATGTGAAGTTCGCTAGTACCTGTCTGTCTTTACAACCATCCGGCTGATATGTAAAGTTTTTCGCTAGTATCTGTCCGTTTCTACAACCATATGGCTGATATGTGAAATCATTTGTTTGTATCTGTCCGTTTCTACACTTATTGCTTGCATACAAATTTCTTCTAACTTCAATAGCATACTTAAAATCGGCCCTTTTTTACACGTGTGTGTATGTATGCATATAAAGATAACAATATGTAAACACCTTGTACTTTACTAATTTCTACCCAGAGGCTCCTGTCTGAGATACGCCAAAAGTGTGCTAATTAATCAGTCACAATTGTGTACAATTACTGGTATACTTATACATATGTACCACATCATTACTTTAAAAAAAAGTAGATTCCATCTCAACCTGGAACTTGCCAGTCCCAACATGTGTGAAACTATAGTCCCAATACGACTAACGCTGTGAAACCAGAAATTCACTCTAGAACTTTCAGGTTCTAATAGTAAAAACTAACACCTAACTTCTAGCGTACCAGTCCAAACAGTGGTAAACTAGAAACCCAACTCAGAATTAGCACGTCTTAAAAGTATGAATCTATGTTCCCAATACAAGCTTACGCTCTGAAACCAGAAACCCAACCCAAAGCGTTCAAATCTTAACTGTGTAAAACTAAGGTCCCAGTACGAGCTTACGCTGTGAAACCAGGAATCCAGCCCAGAGCAAGCAAGTCTTAACAGCGCGAAACTATGGTCCCAATACGAGCTTACGCTCTGAAACCAAGAACAGAGGTTTAATGAGAGATTTTTATTTACCATATATGTATATATATATCGTTTTGAATGTTTAATGAGAAGTTTTTATTTACCATATATATATATATATATCGATGTGTATGTTTCATCAGAGGTTTTTATTTACCATATATGTATATATATATAGTTGTGAATGTTTAATCAGAAGTT